ACTCGGGACAAGCATGTAAGAAAATGGATGGATGTTTGCTGGACTGAGAGGACGAAATGGAAAACATTTTTAATCAGGTTAGAAGATAATTGTTATAATATGCTTTTATAGTGAAGGAGTTGCATTTCTGAAATTAACACATTTTAAATATCAATTTATGTAATCAAAAATATATTAGGGCACAAAAATATAAAATACATAGCAGCAGTATTTAAAAAAAACAAGCTAAAAGGTTTGTTTATTTACAAAGATTACATTTAAACAAAATGGTGTAAATACTGTATTTTGTAAAAATTTTTGAAAATACTATGATTTTGTAGTTTTCTGCTTCATATAACTAAAATTCTGCTGTATAAAACTGTAAACATAAACAAGGAGTTAAATGCTGGGGCATCTTTCATAAAAGTGACTTGATTTGGAAGCTAGAGGGTCAATGCAGCTAGCTATCAGGAGATTTTGGAGCACTTCATGCTTCCATCTGCTGAAAAGCTTTATGGAGATGAAGATTTCATTTTTCAGCACGACCTGGCACCTGCTCACAGTGCCAAAACTCCTGGTAAATAGTTTACTGACCAAGGTATCACTGTGCTCAATTGGCCTGCCGACTTTCCTGACCTGAACCCCATTGAGAATCTGTGGGATATTGTTAAGAGAAAGTTGAGAGAAGCAAGACCCAACACTGTGGATGAGCTAAAGGCAGCTATCGAAGCATCCTGGGCCTCCATAACACCTCAGCAGTGCCACAGGCTGATTGCCTCCATGCCACGTCGCCTTGAAGCAATCATTTCTGGAAAAGGATCCCGACCAAGTACTGAGTGCAGAACTGTAAATAATTATTTGAAGGTTAACTTTTTTTGTATTGCGAACACTTTTCTTTCATGAGCTGAATGCCAAAATCATCCATATTAAGACAATAAAAGACCTGGAATTAAATAGTATGCAATGAATCTAAAATACTTATATGAATGTTCATTACATTATGGAACATAATGAACTTTGTCACAGTATGCTAATATTTTGAGAAGGACCTGTACTTCAATCATGATGAACCCACACCACTCTAAAAGTAATCCCGCATGGACAGTCTCTGTCATTCACTGCCCTCTGCCGGTAAACACCAGTAACTGCTAATAATGAAACCATGCTGTGTGTAAAGGCACAACACCAACACAGCATTTTATACTGTAGTGGTACCGAGTGATACAAATTGCTAGCTTCACTTTAAAACTGCAAATTTAATGTAAGGTTGCATTAATTCCCTTAAAGTTACTTTGAAGACACACAGGCCCGCTAAAGATGAGGCTTGAGACAACCTCACCAGATTCAATGATTTTATTACAGTTATTGGAAGCAAAGTAATTTAAAACCACTCACACATTAAAATAACAGTCACAGCTCAACTCCAGGATGGCAGTGTCAATCAGGGTAGTGACCTACAAAAGAACACAGCAAAAAACAAACAAAAAGAAAATCGTGCACCAAACCAAAAGGAGTACCACCACCCGGAAAGTCCACCACCAACACCAGGAGCTGCAGTTTCTGTCAAAATAAAAAGACATTCAAATAACACATTTCATTGCAACAGAGCTCTATTTTAATTTTAGTAATACCATTTTAATTTGAACTTTCATTTATTTTACTGTCTAATCAATCTTTTTTAGAACTTATTACATCTCTTTGTACAAAAGTTAGGGTCTTTTATCTGTGAAATGAAAGGGTACTTATTTAGCAAACATCCTTGGAAAGAATGTTTGTATGGGACTTTTTTCATAATTTTCTACCTT